TTCCTAATATCTATAATTTTCAAATAAGCTACAGAAGAAACAGTACATGCCAACGTTAAAATAGGTCTAACCCTATGCATAGCAGATTGCTTGCCTGATTGTCTGCTTAACTGCTAGTCTCACCTGACCTATCTTCCAGCAGTAAAGGAAAGGGTTTAAAGTAGAGTTAAAGAACACTAAGACAACTGCCATTCTCCTGATTACGATGAAATTCGGAAATCGCTCTTTACTAAGAGAGATCACAGTTTCCACTGTATAAAATGGTACATAACAGACAACTAAAGCTAACTGTGCACTGTAAACTGCCTTTCTGTATCGCGCCATGTTCAGTGCATTTGGTTGGGTAGGCTGTTGTTGAGCATGATCTTGTACTTGAGCCTGATGATGACTGAGAGCGCGGAAAATCTTTGTGTACGAGGCAATTGAGATAACTAGGCATGTTGGTGCACCTATAAGGGTGCACCAAAAGGTTATACGGTAATTGAGATGAAAGAATAGACCCACGACTAGAGATAAAACCCAAAAGATAGCTATAATGATATACGTGCGCCTTAAAGTTACAATCTCTTTGTATCTCAGTCCCAACAGCATGGCGAGAAGTCGGTCCACGCTTATGGCCGTCAGCGTCAACAAGGAAACTGAGCATAACGCATAGCCTGTCATGCCACTTCCTTGCCTTACGTATCGACAAAGACTCCAGTGTTCGTGAACCACGGACATCCAATAAGTAGCATGGAGAGGCTGGCTAACAAGACCAACCAACAGATCACTTGTTGCCAGAAAACGATACAAGAGTTTGGATGGCGGATGGAGGGAAGATTCCTTGTGAAGGGCAACAAGGATAAGGGAATTCCCAAGAATTGCTGTGATGGAGAGGAGAATGTTAACTGCTGAGAATGAAATGGAATGTTGTTTAAACTCAACTTCCCAAACCGGGGAGCATAAAAATATGTCAAATGCTTGCGTATGTGTTCCATTTCCCGTTATATTTGTTGTCTCCATCATCCTGTTTTCGTTTCTACTGTTTGCAGGTTATCCTTAGTTACAGAAAGGAATATATCGTCTCAAGAGCACTCTCCGAGTGATGATCAGTAAAACCTTAGTTTTTTGAATAACAATTACAGAGAGTAAAATTCATCCATAGCGTCTGGCTATGTGAAATGCCAGAAAGCTGTGAGGTTTGTGACACGATAGAGGAAAAAGGCCGGTTTTCCTGTACGAATTTGAATTAGTAATAAGGGGAAAAGTAAAATAAAACAAAAACCTCTTCACTTAAGTAAGCCTTCTGTGTAGGATACCGACAGTGGACCTTTGACAAACGCATCAGCCGACGTGTTATCTGAATCGGATTCGTTGCTTTGCCCAGATAATACGTGAGTTATTAATTCACTTGATCTTGGGACGCCATTAATTGTTAATTTTAATAACGTTAAATTAATTTTTGACCATCACATGAATTCGAACGCGGATATGATCCTTGCAGTCGTGAGCCGTCCTACAAACCGTTCTAATTAGGAGTAGTGGTAGGTACTCAAGATTGGGTGTTAGCAGCTTTTGTACTCGATTGTAATTACATGAGAGAATAAGTTCTCATAAGACCAGCTGTGTGTACACGGCCTGTGATAAAGTCACGCACGAAATCTTCTTGAATATTCGAATTCGGTTATAAAAGTGCTTTTAAAATTACTTTCTCAAAAAAATCTATGGATAACATTCTGAAGAATACAATTTTGCACTCGATAAGCAGTCTTAATTGATGATGGCAAAATACTAGAAAACAGCTAGCCTTATCAACCACGTTTGAATTTTTGCTTTATTCTTATCATGAGTTTCTTCTGTCATAACTTGCGAACTTGCTTTCTGGCAAACGATTGGTCTCTAATGTTAAATCGATGTTAAAATAGTGATAAACAAATCGAGCCCGTGGCTCCTGTTACAATCCGTAAACACTTACACATACATCTGAGACAAAGTGACATATCTCATCCAGTTTTGACAAAACAGGAAAATCGTAAGCGCATTCTGCTTGAAAAGAATAGAGTCCACTGTTTCATTATAAATGTGCAAATTCGGCACATGATATTCTTGTGATATATTTTACTACCAAACTGATATGTTTTACCTTTTATTTGTTCTTAAGATAACTTGAATACAATATACAAATTAGAAGTAGCCCTTTATAGTTTTCCTTACTCTTTTATCATGTGGTATATTCACTCGTCTTTCCTAACAACCATAATTGTTTAATAGCTTTTGAAGGAACAGAATATGTAAACGTCGAAATAGGTCGAAACCTAGCAAGGCAAATTGCTTATCTGATTGTCTACTTTACTGCTTTTCTTATATCTTTGGTCTTCCAACGGTAAAGAAACTGGTCTAAAGTGGAGTTTACTGTGAG